CCCACATGGCTTTACTTAAGGAAACCTAAAACACCCTAGCACCCCTATTGGTAAAAAACTGCCTACAAAATTCTTATTAAAAGGCTGTCACACCTCAAATATGGCTCGTGAGATCCACTTTCCTGCAAAGTTTAGCTCCAACTTTGATCAAACTCACCCAACTGTGATTTTCGAATGATCCTGAAGACATTGATTAGCATGCCCATGTGTGTTTGATTAAGGTTAGAACAAAACTCTGCAGGAAAGTGGATCTCGTGAGTCAGATTTGAGGATCCCTGGCATATATGAAACAACAGATTCTGAAAAGGTCTCTTTTGGTTTGAGCCTTTCCACTTCAATTGAGTGGCTAAAGAATGGCCAGTCAATGTTGTTTGTATTCTCCTAGTTGCATTACAGGGCTGATTACACAAAACCTGCATGGGCCCAAAGGATACAAAAGTTGCTCTGGGCCCGAACGGGCTGGCCCACACTGGGCCATCATGGGATTAATGTGGACAGTCCGCTAGTGTGGCCTGCTCACAGAGAGCCTGCTGTGAGCCCAAAGCTGTGGGCCTCACCTGGGCAAGCCCACACTGGACCTGTTTAGGTTTGGTGTGGGCTGGCACTAGCCCACTGTGCCCGCAAAAAGCCAGCAGGGACATGTTTGCAGGGACGTGTAACGTGTAACCAGCATGCTGCCATCTTGGATTTTTGCATCACCATTGAATGCAAATGGGTATGTCCCTCATTCAAGTTAGTAATCAGCTGTTTTTCTACCCATTTCTCAGCCATTTTGGAAACTATGCAATATACTAATTGGTCTGTACTAGTTTCCTAAATTTGTTTGGTCACCACCCTTAAAAATCTGTGTCACTATGGCTGACTTCCAAGTATCTGGGTAAATACCTTGCTTAATTGAGAGATTAATTAGATGGGTGATAGGACAAGCTAAAATATCCACCGACCAAATGTAAGCCAATGTACCCCACACACGCCACTTGAGTAGTAGATGCAAATGGTACCAAGCTGGGAAAAGCACCCAGCTCATCTGCAACGAAGGATGACACCATCCCGGGATCTGCTGCCAGCACAGACACAGCCGAAGAACTCCATTCACCGGTGTCAACATCTCCGGCCTGTTCGCATATAACTTTGTCCTTTATGCTGTTGCATTGTTACTTTATAGTGTTCAACTTTTACTGTTTTCTTGTAAGTGTATGTTATATCCATTATTGTTGTTATTGTTCATTTATAGAAGCACACACATACTGATGCATGACTCAAACGGGAACAGTGAAGAAGTTTATTGTGGACATGGGCCAAGTGATTTATTGTTCTATGAGTTATGACGTGGAATATAACACTCTGTTTCTCTTTTAGATGATTGACTACTGATCAGGATTCATATTATGGGTTCATAACTCAACTCTCCTGCATGATGAATAACCTGAATAAATTTATGTGTTTGTCTCCACACAAACAACAGATACAAACAATTCTTCAGGTGAAACATAAAAAAAAAAAAGTATGATTACAATAGTATATGGTTTGAATAAGATTTCCATGTGTTTTGGTGACACTTTAAACTGGTCCACATTAGTCAGCATGAACTAGGGGAGAGCGGGGCACAAAGTCAATTTTTTTTGACTTTCTCAGTTTGTGTAATCCACATAGGGTTCAGAATATAATTTTTTTTATCCACAGTAATTTTACACTTGTCTAGTACAAATATGTCGCTTTGTTTCATGATTACAGTGTATACGTTTTTCTTTATTTACCCTCAAAAAATGGAAGTGAAATGTGACAACATGCCCCGTAGGTGGGGTACATTGTAACATCTGAGGGGCACTTTGTAACATGACAATATAACAGCTTAAAATGTTATCTGATCAAATGAAAAAAATATACAAGATAAACTAAAATATTTTGTTAATAAAATAAAATATATATATATTTTTTCAAATAAAATAATGGCGTTTTTTAAGAATTAAAAATAATCTGATTTTGGAGTTTGAGAATGAACATATTGCAATCATGCTTGGGACGGCCCATATAAACGAGCAAAAATGCTTTATGAGGTCAGTACTTCCGGCTTCGCTACCGTTCGGACGTTCTTGCTTACTGCTCTGCGCTTTGCTCCCTATTTCTGTACTTTTCTCAGATTTTTCTAAGATTTTTACTTCAGCAGATCAGCACAGTGCTCAAACAACACATTTCTGCACAAACACTAAAACTAAAAACTCCTTGGGACTGGAATAATACCACGAAAAAGAAGACTTTGCCTCCCACTGCCAGCAGCTTACATTCCGGAGAAGGGAAAACACAGCTGCCCACATTCAAACAGAAGAGAAAGAAAATGCCTCCTGTTGAATCTAGTTTCTGCATGAACTGCTGCAAACTTCTACAAAGGATTGCGGTTCTTGAAACAAAGTTACTTGCTGGACTTCCAAAACAGGCAGAACACTCAGCAGACCGTCGTCACGGACCCCCTCAGCATACAGCCGGTGAGTCCCATGAATCTAGTGAAACTCAACAGTTTATACCAAGTGTAGAAGAACAAGCCGAAACTGATTGACACACTAATCGATGGCACAAACAGGGAGCGAGACCCAAAGGCACACGAGACATCAGATTGTCACGAGTATCTCATATTGCTGCCATAGCATCCTCTACCCTAGATACGGCTATGACAAAGCTTGTGAATACTGGTATTCTACCACCCCCTATACATCTTGAGAACAGATTTGAAGCATTAATGAATGCGGGTGAGGAATCCCCAAATGCGGTTAAACATGGATCGGATCAGCCAGCAGCTAACATCACTACTAACAGACGCTCAAGGTCGAGCAGACAGCGGCTTTCAGCTCAGAGCGCAGCCGAGCCCAGGACTCTGATAGTGGGCGACTCCATTATCAGAAACATCAGTAGCAGAAAT